ATTCACCAGAGACAGAGCGGGGAGCAGAACAGGCAGATCGATGAAATCCACTGCTGAGGGGAGCAGCGGGCGGGTCAGGAGAGGTCTGCCGCGCCATGTGGATTTCCTCCAGGGCAGGCGGGGATCGAACTCATGTGAAAGTGGCCTAAGCCTCTTTGTGCTGCGCTTTAACCCGCTGCGCCACCAGGGAGGGCCCGGTCTTCCCATTTTTTAAAGTTTGTAAAAAAAAAAAAGGTATTCTGCGGAGTCCCACAGGCCTAGATTATTTACCCTGGCATGTTTATAGAAAGGAAGTATTTGCTGTGGTGGAGGGACAGCCCTGAGCCTTGGGGAGTGCTCTCTGGCTGGGGGCAGCCAGCCTGGAGATCTGCACATTTGACACGCAGGCTGCTGTTCACATCCCCACGGGGTGGGGGTGGCTGGCATTTGCCGGAAGACCCCAGGCCAAGGCAGAGCTGGGATTAGAACCCACCGGTCTCTTCTGGCACCACCCAGAGGGAGGGTGTCGCAGCAGAATCTAAGGACCAGGGATCAAAGGGAGAAGAAAGAGGTAGGGGCGGAGCGGGCAGCTTCCTGGAGGAGGAGGAGGCGTCTACACTGTGCACAAAGCCTGGGCGAGCAGGGCCCGAAGGAGAGCAGCAGAGGTCGCAGGTCCAGTCAGCACGCACAGGGCAGTGGCGAGGAATGGCCAGCCCGGCTCTGCCACACTCAGGCTCAGGGACATGGCGATGGCAGGCCAGGGCCCATGGCCAGAGAATCTTCTGGGACGCCTTGAATGGAGGAAGCACGACTAGAGGGACTTCCCAGAGCTCGCCCCCACCCCCTTTTATGCCCTGGGAAGAATTCCCCTACCCCTTGAGGGATGGAGCAGGGCCTAGGCTGTGGCCCAAGGGCCAGTCAGGGTCTCCAGGTCAAGGCTGAAAATGCACACCGGAGTTCAAGTGGCCTGAAGTCTCACGAGGCGAGACACCTGTCCTGGCCCCAGCTGTCCTGCCCCCAGGACACCCCTCGGCCTCAGACTGCCTCTCTCTCCCTGCCCCAGCCAACCCTGGAGCTGCCTGGAACTCCAGGCTCAGGGATTCTGGGGCCTCTCCCCCAGGGGCCTGGGATCTCATCCCCGCCCTCTCCCTGCTCCCACCTCCCCACAGCCTAGCAAATCCAGGTCTGGACCTGTCTCCAGATAGGGTGGTGTGTGGGCTGTGCCACACCCCCTGGAATGTCCATGATGCATGTTTCAGAGGCCCAGATCCTTTTTTTTTTTAACAAACTTTAAAAAATGGGAAGCCCGGGTCCTTCCTGGTGGCGCAGCGGGTAAAAGCACAGCACAAAGAGGCCACTTCTGCATCTGGCCAGCCTTCTCAGAGGAGGAAGGGGGGGGGAGGGGAGCTGGCCTGCTGACAGTGTTGGGCCTGGAGGAAAGGTGACAGTGTCTATTTCAGTGGTGTTCGACTCTACATGCGTGTAAGGATCGTAACGTGCAGGTGCCCGGGGCCGCTCCAGGGTTCAAGCTCGGGGATCAGAGTGGCTATCTTCTTCCCACAGTCCCCTGAATTCTCCTCTCAGTCCCTCTGCATGCACCTCTCTGCCAGTGCAAAAGTTTGTCCCCAACATGTGAACCAACCCCGAGGGCGGAGACAGAGTCCACTCTCTAACCCACATCTCTAGAAATAAGAAGGTGCTGAGCCTGCAGCAGGCTGGGAGCGTCCAGAGAACAAGGTGGACGGGCCACAAGGCCACTCAGGTCAAGGGATCCAGCTCAGGGCTGTAGGACATAAGTTTCATCTACAAACAGCATCACTGCCATCAGCACCTCCACTGTTAACACCTCCATCACCACCACCATCACCTCCATCATAACCTCTGTCATCACCACCATCATTGCCTCCATCATTATCATGATCGTCATCACCACCGTCATCACCCCCATCATCATCACCTCCATCATCACCACCACCATCACCTCCATCACTGCCACCATCAACTCCATCATCATCACTTCCATCATTATGATCATCATCACCATCATTGCCTCCATCATTATCATGATCATCATCACCACCGTCATCACCTCCATCATCATCACAACCACCATCAACCCCATCATCATCACCTCCATCATCACCACCACCATCACCTCCATCACTGCCACCATCAGGAGCCAGGATTAGAAATCTCAGTATTTCCCCGCCCCCTTAGCCCCTCCAAGTACATCTGTGTCTTTCCAGGTCTACACGCTCCAGAAAAACAGATGAACCATATTTGGACTTCAAATGTTGTAGGGGCCACCTTAAAAAGTCATAAAAAGCAGGTGAAATTACCCGGCACCCACATCCTCAAGCACTTACACACCACGGGGGTTCACACTCAGTGCCACCCACATCTCAGCCTCGCCCACACACCAGTGCGCATGCCCCGTAGAGTATTTGAGGTTCACCTGTGCACACCTGTGTGTGTGCTGAGGAGCTAATGAACAGGGTGACTTAACCAGACGCTGCGAGCCTCCCCCCAGAGCGCCCCCTTTCCGGAGCCTGGTGGACCTGAGCTGGTCAGCCAACAAGGAAGCGTCCCCCAACGCGCAACGTCAGAGGCTGCACCTGCACCTGCCTGTCTCTCCGGACACCACCCGGTCACCTCTCCTTGCCACATTTCCCCCTCCTCACTGGCCTGTACGCGCGGAGGGGTGGGACCTGGGGCTGGGGCAGGGTGTGGGGGTTTGTTCTCATTTCTGGATTAGTGGGTGCACGCCAAGGAGGCAGGGGCCGTACTGCAAAGAGCTGGCCCTAGACCCAAACTCAGCCTCACAGATTGCCAGGAGCTGTGTGACCTCGGGCAAATGACTTACCCTCTCTGAACTTGCCTTTTGCAGCTACAAAGAGGGATAACTACAGCGACTTAATCGGGTTGGATGAGAGTGGCCGGAGGGGCTTCAAACATGCTCGCGTGTCTGTTGGGGGCCTCTGACACAGTCTGGCGTTATCGGAGGGCCGCCCCTTCTCCTGGCCACAGTCGCTGCTCGGCGCGGGGAGGAGAGGAACGAGGCTTGCCATCTCTCCTTCACGTGCTAAACGCCGGACACACTGGCCCACGCTTCCAGTCCCCTCCTGGCTTGGCATCTTCCTCCCTCAGCTACGGGCCTTCCGCTCACGCGCTCACATCTGCTGGGCGCGTTCCCCTCGCTCGCTTCTGAGACGCTTTTCTTGGCAACCGTTTCTTCCATATGAGCATCTACGATCATTTTTTCCATTGAAGCCCCGCTGGGACCCTCTCGGCCTGGCTCGCTTCACATATTAGTCTGCGGAAGGCTCCCACATACGGGGTTTGGCCCTCCAGGAAAGCACTGCTGCCATGTGTCGGGGGCCCTCACAGGGTGTCCCGAGAGTGCTTGCATCAGAGGCAATTGTGAGGGGACGCGTGGGGGCCCAAAGACGGCCCCAGGCAGGGGGTCCTCAAAGGGACAGACCGCCCCACCCCCAACCACCCCGCCTTCTGGGACTGTCTGAACTCTGGGCTCCTGGGCCACTCGGCCCCCACCAAGCCCAGGGTCCTGTCCCCTGCTCGGCCAGCACTGGCTGTTCAGGGGAGCAAACAGCCCCCCCCCCACTGGGCCCCGCCCAGGCCCCTCTCCTGCTTGGACCTCCCTGCCTAGCCCTCACCTCTTCTCCTCGCAGGCCGGGGCTCCCAGCCCCAGCAGCCCTGCCTCGGGGCTGATTTGGCTCCCAGCGATGCTGGGTTTCACCTAAACCTGGAACATGCTAGAAAAGAAGGATCTGGCCACTTACTGCCTTGGGGCCCTGAGCAAGCCCCTTGCTTCTTCTAAGTCTCCACTTCTTTCACTGATAAATTGGAGCTGGCATTTCGTTTCGTGGGGTGGCCAGGGCCGGGCAGGTTCTTGGCTCTGCGGGGAAGCCCTCCCCAGCCCAGCTGGCAGCCGGCTCTCGGCCTCAGGGCTGTTTGCAGCTGGCACTAGACTGTTTGAGGCCAAGCCTCCAGGGCCTCAGCAGGAGAGTGCTGCGCGCCCTGAAGGAAGCTGTGGAGGGTCAGGACACAAAGCCCCCTGGCCATCTTCCTCCCGGGCTGGGAGACCTTGCCGGTCCTCCCGGCTAAACCCCCGGAGCCGGCCGGTGTCTGCCTCCTCGGGCCGGCTTTGCTGCTACATGTCTCCACCCTGGTCCCGTGGAGAAGCAACCCTACGCCCATCCCCTGGTGGTGCCTGGGTGGGGTGGGAAAGAGGGGCCGTGCACCCCTCGCCCCCAGAAAACAGCAGGCTTCCCACGCTGGGTCTAAACATATGCCTCAGAGCTGCAGAAGCCCGTGGAAGCCCACGGTGGCCGCAGCTGGGGTGAGAATCACCCCAAGTGCTCTCAGGAGGGCTTCTACTGAAAGCTGGCGTCTTTCTGCCACCTTCTCTTGGCATTTTCCATCGCCACTCCTTGGGGTCGCGCCGACACTTGGAGATGCTGGAAGTTGCCTAAAAGCGTTCTCGCCCTATGTGGATCAGAGAGGGTGAGTGGCGGCCCACAGTCACACAGCCTGTCTGGGCAGAGCTGTGTCGGGAGTCCAGGCCCCCTGACCTGGCCCTGCCTCCTGCCCCTGCCCGCTGCATTCAGGCAGGGGAAGTGTCCAGGTGGGGTCCAGGTAGGGACATGGGGCGTGGACAGCCGTTTGCTTGGTCTCCATAGACGCAGCCCCGGCTTGTCTCCCGGCCAGGACTGGCCCTGTGTCCGACCCAGCCCTCAAGTGGGCACCTTCCTTCCTCTCCACGCTCAGCCCTCACCCTGCCCCCGTGCAGCAGGACCCAGCGGGAAAGCGAGGGCCGCTGTGAGCCCCTCCAGGCAAGACTCACCGAGGCCCGTGTGCCGCCTGCGGCTGCTGTCACAGCTGCCAGCGTCCAGGGCAGGAACCACCACATGCCTGATTGTTAGTAGCACAGCATTCACCGCGCAGCCCAGAGGAGCCGGACACCTCGGGGGAGCTGGGTCCAGTCTGGCCTGCCCATCAGGAACACCGGCTATGCCACTTCCAGCAGCCCCGGGGGGTTATGAAAGCAAGAGCTGACGTCAGGGTAAGGACAAACCCTGCATTTTCCTCTGAAAAAACTTTTCCTGCCTCTCTTTTTTTCTTTCTTCCCTCTGTCCCCACCTCCAGCCCAGCTTGGCCGGCCTTCCTGGCTCTGACAGCTCTTAAAGGGAAAGTTACAGGGCTGGGTTTCACGGGGCGCTAGTGGTGAGTGCCCGAGCTGGGTCACCCCAGGCAGACCA